ATCGCCCTTGCGGATATGGACGTTTGGACACCGTTGGTTTTGGAGGCAAGACCACTACCGAGAACGTCCCCGCGCGCACCCCAACGCCCGGCTCAATCACAAATGTTGCTTTGCGTCGCCCCTTTTTTTGGTCCTTGCCGGCGCCTGATAAAGGCGAACAACGGTAATCCGTTTGGTGACAGTAAGTCGAGGAGAAAGACGGACCGCTGTGTTCACGCCGCCATTGTTGCTGTATACATTTATCACCGTGACAAGATTGGCCTTGGAGGGGGGGTAGACCTTGAGCTCGATGGCGATATGGACGGAATGGAGTTCGGGCCAGAGGGGGGTGTGTGGGGGATGAACACAGCACCGGTGACGACGTGGGGTTCGCGTTGTCCACCCGGCGTACCGATCCTATCCGTTTCAAACAGCAGATGGCCCAGCTCACAACGATTTGTTCTGTGTACATGTTTCCTGCCGACGAGCCCGCGTTCAAGGAAGGAACGTACGGGCGCGACACCATTCACATCAACGGATGCATTTGCACAGGCTGCGGGAATCCGTACGAACGACTCTCCGACGCCGCAATCCTTGTCGGCCAGGTAGGTAATCGGGTTGAGCAGCAGGACCTTGTCTTCCTCGACGCTGAGCCGTAGTTCTTTGCTGCCCACGTGGTCATTTTCTCTGGAAAACTACGGCATGAAATAAGGGCATGGAAACGAAGGGTAGGCTGGCCTACATTGTCCATGTGTTTAGAAAGTGCCTCCTCCCTTCACGTATCACGTCTAATTTCGGACGGCGGGCTTGGGCGTCGATGAGGTTGGTCAAGTGAGCAGGGTTGGTCAAGTGGGTCAACAGCTACAGCACCACCGTGATGTCTCATTTTTCCTGTGTCCGGGCGGTTGTACAGCAGCTACAACACCACCGTGATGTCCCATTTGTCTTCTGTCTGGGCGGTTGCACAGCAGGCAGCGGGGAGAGCAGAACTGCGAGTGGTGAAAATCGAGCGAAAGGAATGCAGGGGGTGCAACCTTCGAGGCTGGGCAGGCGACAACATCTACGAGGATGGGGTATTCAAATACAACAACAACGTTGTAATTGAATTGCGCCTTCTCTACGGAATCCGTAGGGCTTTCACCAGCGGTACTCCGATATCGACCTGGGTCAAAACCTTCCTGGCACCGCTAGCTGATAGCCTGGCCTGGCTGGACGCCTCGGATGCCAACCGCAGTTTGGCTTCACGGTGAGCGGTACTCGGAGGCGGTATATGTTGTTGGTTCTTGTTGAACGATCGACAAAAACAACGTTTTCAGCAATATTTCTCTAACTATTCACCTTGGTGATGCATGACTGGGGCAATGTCGCAAAAAAAAGGAGAGCAGCACGTACAAGTCTGTGTGTCCAGTTATCGCTATTTGAGTGGTGAGTGGGAAATTTAGATGCCTTACCGATGCTGGCAAGGGTTGCTGCAAGGGTAGCGCAAGCCAATTACGCCCTTTCTGGCACATTTTTTTTTTCTCGCAAGCGAATAGCTGGCCATGCTCTGCTAGTCTGTAGACGCGCGGACAAACCGTCAAACTGGCCGTCCGGTCATGCGGGGGTGCATACGTGTCGCGTTGCGTCATGGTCATTGATGTTCTTGGGTGGTGATATTTTTCTGAGCTCATTTTTCTTCCAATTGTTCGGCCGGCGTACCCAAGCCCAAAACTCAATTTTGAGGCCGGAACGCACCCCTTCGGACGAAACCAAGTTTGCACGTGCTCTCCAGACATATGTGTACCAGCACATTAAAAAAAAAACAGGGCCTCAATGAAGCTGTTCAGAAACAATACAAGATTTGGTAGAGAAAACATTCGGAAATTGGCTCCTGAACCCTTAACCAGCCGTTGCGGCAGGTGTAAAACGACCACCCAACACAGGGTTTTAGTTTTTGTATGAATAATTGGCGTGGTGATGGTCCACGAGGTCATAGTCAACCACAAAAAAAATGAACGCGGATTGATCGTTTTTTGGTCCAGGCGTTGCCATTTGAATAGTGTGGGCGAATTTAGAAATCTCGCCGTTGCTGGCGAGGGTAGCACAAGCCAAGTTCGCACTTTCTTGGGCTTTTTTTTTTTCTCGCAAACGAACAGCTGGCCATACTCTGCTACTTGATAGACGCGCATATGAACCGTCAAATAGGCCGTCCGGTCATCTTGGGATGCATAGGTGTCGCGTTGCGTCATGGTCAATGCTTGTGTTTTGGTGATTTTGTTTTTCTCCGCATTTATTATGCCGACGTACCCAAGCCCAAAACTCACTTATGAGGCCGGAACGTACCAGTTCGGACGAAACCAAGTTTGCACGTGCTCCCCAGATACATATCTAGAAATACGATCACAAAAGATAGGACCTCGATGAAGCTGTTGACAAGCAAAACACGATTTGGTGGAAAAAACAATCGAAAGATGGCTCCTTAGCCCTTAACCAGCCGCTGCAGCAGGTGTAAAACGACCACCCAACCCGGTGTTTTTGTATTTTTTCCGAACACTGACATGATGACGCTGGCCTAGGTCATAGTCGACCACAACAAAAACTGAATGCGGATTGATAATTTCTAGGTCCAGATGTCGCTGTTTCAGTGGTGTGGACGAAATTGAGGGACGGTACCCTTGCCGTCGAGGGTAGCACAAGCCAAATACTCTCTTTCTTGGGCATTTTTTGTATTTTTTCTCGCAAACGAACAGCTGGCCATGCTCTGGGAGTTGATAGACTCGCGGAAGAACCGTCAAACGCACCCTCCAGTCGTCCTGGAGTGTCCGGACCGTGTTGCTGCAAAATTGATGGTCAGTTTGCAACTTGTGTTCATTTCTCCCAGTGGGTAAACGCGGTCTCGGCGATTTCGGCTTGGCGAGCTGTGATTTCGTGACGAAGATACTGGCGCTGGTCTTGACACAGAGTTCGCCGCTGTTGTCGCGTATCATGATGCGCCAGACCAACGTCAAGTATGGGTTCGCGCACATGTTGATTGATTTTGTGTTTCTTTTGTCTATCCGAGACGCAATGTTTGCCCGAAGAGACACGCGCCGTCAACAATCACGGTACTCAATCTTGACTAGATGGTCGTGTTAGAGTATGCCGAGCGCTAACAAGACTTCATCGGGCGCATCATGATACGCGACAACAGCGGCGAACTCTATGTCAGGACCAGCGCCAGTATCTTCGTCACGAAATCACAGCTCGCCAAGCCGAAATCGCCGAGACCGCGTTTACCCACTGGGAGAAATGAACACAAGTTGCAAACTGACCATCAATTTTGCAGCAACACGGTCCGGACACTCCAGGACGACTGGAGGGTGCGTTTGACGGTTCTTCCGCGAGTCTATCAACTCCCAGAGCATGGCCAGCTGTTCGTTTGCGAGAAAAAATACAAAAAATGCCCAAGAAAGAGAGTATTTGGCTTGTGCTACCCTCGACGGCAAGGGTACCGTCCCTCAATTTCGTCCACACCACTGAAACAGCGACATCTGGACCTAGAAATTATCAATCCGCATTCAGTTTTTGTTGTGGTCGACTATGACCTAGGCCAGCGTCATCATGTCAGTGTTTCGGAAAAAATACAAAAACACCGGGTTGGGTGGTCGTTTTACACCTGCTGCAGCGGCTGGTTAAGGGCTAAGGAGCCATCTTTCGATTGTTTTTTCCACCAAATCGTGTTTTGCTTGTCAACAGCTTCATCGAGGTCCTATCTTTTGTGATCGTATTTCTAGATATGTATCTGGGGAGCACGTGCAAACTTGGTTTCGTCCGAACTGGTACGTTCCGGCCTCATAAGTGAGTTTTGGGCTTGGGTACGTCGGCATAATAAATGCGGAGAAAAACAAAATCACCAAAACACAAGCATTGACCATGACGCAACGCGACACCTATGCATCCCAAGATGACCGGACGGCCTATTTGACGGTTCATATGCGCGTCTATCAAGTAGCAGAGTATGGCCAGCTGTTCGTTTGCGAGAAAAAAAAAAAGCCCAAGAAAGTGCGAACTTGGCTTGTGCTACCCTCGCCAGCAACGGCGAGATTTCTAAATTCGCCCACACTATTCAAATGGCAACGCCTGGACCAAAAAACGATCAATCCGCGTTCATTTTTTTTGTGGTTGACTATGACCTCGTGGACCATCACCACGCCAATTATTCATACAAAAACTAAAACCCTGTGTTGGGTGGTCGTTTTACACCTGCCGCAACGGCTGGTTAAGGGTTCAGGAGCCAATTTCCGAATGTTTTCTCTACCAAATCTTGTATTGTTTCTGAACAGCTTCATTGAGGCCCTGTTTTTTTTTTAATGTGCTGGTACACATATATCTGGAGAGCACGTGCAAACTTGGTTTCGTCCGAAGGGGTGCGTTCCGGCCTCAAAATTGAGTTTTGGGCTTGGGTACGCCGGCCGAACAATTGGAAGAAAAATGAGCTCAGAAAAATATCACCACCCAAGAACATCAATGACCATGACGCAACGCGACACGTATGCACCCCCGCATGACCGGACGGCCGATTTGACGGTGTTTCTGCGTGTCTATAGACAAGCAGAGCGGCCTTTTGTTCCTTCGGGAGAAAAAACACAAAAGTGCCCAAGAAAGTGAGCATTTGGCTTGTGCTGGGTGCCCTCGACGGCAAGGGTACCGTCCCTCAATTTCGTCCACACCACTGAAACAGCGATATCTGGACCACAAAATGATCTATCTGTTTTCAGTTTTGTTTCGTGATCCACTATGACTCCCTTGATCATCACCACGGCATATGTATATGAGAAGAAAAAAAAAACACGCGGGCTTGCTGATCGTTTTACACCTGCTTGCAGCAGCTGGTTAAGCGCTAAGGAACATTTTTTGGACTGTTTTCCTCCTTCAAGTCTTGTTTTGTTTTTCACCAATTTGACGGATAGTCTGCTATTGTGTGGTGTGCTGGTACACAAGTTTCTGGAGAGCACGCGAAAACATTGTTTCGTCCGAACAGGCTCGGGCTAGCCTCACAACTAATGTTCTGGGCGTGGTGTGTCGGGCGGAAATCGATCAACAGGTTTTGGAAGAGATATGGTAAAGAAACATGCAGCATAACGAGTCTAACATTCACCTGTTGAATGCCGGAAGGCCGATTTCATGTATTCAATGAACGTCTTTTACCAACGGCTAAGTGCCAGCTCCCCATCTTGCACGACATCGAATAGGATCGGGAAGAAAGTTGGAGTTGGGCACGCTTCTTGGTCAACCCTTGAGCGGGGTTCAGGTTTTTGGCTACAAACGTCTACCTCAAATTCGTTTTCTGTTTGACGTGTGACGCACAAAATCTCCTCCCAGTTTATCCGTCGCTAACTTTGCCAATCCATTTGCCCTGCCGCGTCTACTGTGTGTACCCTCTTCTCGCAGCATCGAGGACCACAAGTTTCACGCGCTGATCAAGGAGGCATACTTTGCCTTCGAAGCCCTAGTACAGCACCCGTTTGGGTTCGTGAGCTTCATGCACGGACGCTGGCCAGAGATATTCTGTATCGACGGTTGCGCGAAGATTTGTACGGACGACGTTTCGAGAGAGCAGTTTGACATTGCTCGGGTGGAGAGAGATGTGGACGCAAACCTCTACAATGAGATGCTGAAGATGTCCATGATTTCCAAGATGGTTTTCAACGCGCACCTTCGCTGGGTGCTGGAAGCGGCTCCAATCTTCGGACCAACCGTGTTTCAAACGTGATGCATCGGACAGCACGGGGGAGGATGGAGCCGGTGGGATCTCCTGAGGACGGGGATGCGGGGGAGCTGATGCGCGCGCTCGGCGACGGCGCCATTACCGACCTCTCCGACAAGTCCTTTGGTGACCTCAAGAACATCTACAGGCTCTGCTTTCCCGATGGAAAGGGAATCAGCATGTGAGTTCTGGAGGAGCAATCGCGCACGCCCTCTTTTGCGATGTATGCTCGTGTCTATGGGTACGAGCTTCGAACGTAAATAGCTCTCTCCCTCACGCGTGTTCTCGCACCTCCACCTTTGCTGTCGAAAACGCATCTTTTGACTAGGTATCCAACAAAGGAGCTTCTTGCCCAGTGCCTCCAAAAGCTCTGGGAGTTGGCGGATGGCGAAGGCGAACGATGCTTGAAGCTGTTCATCGGCAAACCGTCGGGGTCAACGGCAGGAGTAGAAGGTCTCTTCACGGGTGATGGAGTGATGGCTGCGCACGTCTTCCAGATCACGGCTGAGAGCCCAGCCGACGCTGTGGACATGTTGGTACACCTCCCGGTGAGCTATTGTACTCTTTCAACCAAGACCATACATGTCGTGAACCGACGCGAAATACCGAGTGAGCATGCCGTGTTCAAGTTGCACAGTGCGATGCCATGTGTAGACGAAATGTGTGGTAAACAGCGTGGTAGCCCCCCCCTGCAACTTCCACGGAGGGAACGTTTGTAGCGATGTGTTTTTTGGGTTGAATGTTGTTCGAACGCCTAAGATGGTCTCCACTTTTTTCCTTTGGCTGGATTTGTTTTGTCATTTGCTGTTAGAGCACCTTGTTGGTCAATGAGCACACCCGTCGCGGGTGGATACTTAGGTGAGGTCGTAGGAAGAACGTTTTCTATTCTAAATATTGCGTCACTTCCCCCCGACATGGGATTTATGTCGTTTTGAATATTCAAGTTGCGTTCGTGGGGCTCGTGGGCTGAGGTGTTTGCCGCGCACCTACGTTTTCTACATTTTCCACTGTCGTTGGCCCGTCCCTCGAGGCCTTGCGTATGTGTTAGGCACTCGTGAAGAAAGGTGTGGTATGTTCGTGCATGACGTTTCCTTACATGCTGCATGCTGTTCCTGTATTTCCTATCGTCACTACCAAGGTACGACCATGCCTGGTGATCACGGATATACCATGCATGCTGGCACCGATCGCGGACAAGAATCATCCTGATCTACTGGATGAAGGCGGCGCCCTGCCACTTAACGCCGAAGGTCAAGTTTCCCTGAAAGGACTGCAGCACATCGGAGCCCGTGCACGCGACTTTCCGCATCTGCACTCTGTGAAGGTGCCGCCGGGGGGATTCCCATCTGCGACCTCATCGTCTGCGTTGGGGGCCCAACCCGTTCACAACGTGTACGCGGTCTTTGCCGCCGCGGAGCCTTCACCCGGCGTTCAAGCACAGCTCGACTTCCGCACTCTACTTGGACACCATGCTGATATGGTTGAGAAGGATCGTCAAGTTCGAGCTGCACCTGACGCTGAGGGCGATGTGACAGGGTAAGCGACTGGTCGTCTTCCCCCAAGCGAAACAGCGAGCTTGCGGAGGACACTCTCAACTCTCTACACAATCAATGGTACGCTATCGACCTCTTCGAGGTTGTACTCGTGGTCTCGCTATGGTTTCAGGCAGCTGGGCGAGAGGCAGCTGGGCGAGAGTCTGCTGCGGGTGGGGCACAGGGGGTGCGAGGGGAGCGGGGGGGTGGGGCAGACGAGACTCCGCCACAGCGCGAGATAGCCGACTTGTCAACCGAGGAGCTTCTCGATATATCCCGTCACCTCATGGAAACTCTGAGGGTAGCAATTGGATCAACGGACGCCGCTGGCTTGACAACGATGTGCATGCCTGAGTTTCTTGGCGACGATGTGCTCTACTACAGTCAAATCAATGGGAGGAGTAACAGGCGGGGCGGTAGATAGCATGGAGGAAGGTTTGGGCGAGGCTGCTCCGGTTTTGAGAAAATTGGAGGACGCCGTCAATCTTTACCACCAGGTGAGACATTGTTCCCGAAGTGCTACAGTTGATTATGACGGAGCTTAGTGTCTTGCTTGATCATTTCGGGTGAGCGCTGTGGCGGCGCAAAAGATGAACTCAACTGAAGGGGAATAGCCTAATCCTGAACACTAAAACTACATTACTTGGCGCCAAGTAAGGATATTTCTATCTCGACCTTGGTGCTCACTGTCCTTGCACTCTGTTCGGGCGACCTTGGTGTTTTTTTCGATCTCACCTGTGCAGAAGAAGGCGACGTTCATCACCGACTCGCTCGACGCCGTTGACAACTACTCATCCGAGCGCGCATGTGAGCGAACGTATCACTGTCAACGAAGTATATTTTTCTTTCGGATCGTTGCAATGTGCGTGCGGCACAAAGTTCCTCGTATGCAGGAATGACGCTTTTCTGTCCCGCCTTCTAAATATTGCACCGCCCCCCCTACCGTCCACCCCCGGGAGTGTCAGTCCACAACCTTACGTTGCTCTGTGAATGCACACACATGGCTCCGTGAACACTCGCCAAACTCTTTTTATTTCCTTATTCCCCCGTGTTCCGGTGTGTTCCCCAATACCATTGAAACAGACCGTTTAGTCCAGCCAGGGGTCGGTTTTGGCGTGGCCGCACTCCGTCAAAGCGTTGCAGATGGCGCTTTCTAGCGACTCTCTGGGGGGGCAGTTCGACAAGGATGGAAAGCTACCTGGCTACGGGGTCTCCTTCAACTTTAAGCGGGAACGTTCGTTTGGTGAATTCGGACACTTCTACGACGGCCAGAGAGTAGGTCTTTGGCTAGGCCCAGACGGGCCGCACGAGGGCAACCACCAAGGGCCCTGCCAAATGAAGGATGGCGGAGTGTTTCGGTGCCCGCAGCTCACGGGCGTCAACTGCAACGTTCACGAACAAAACCACGAGAAGAAGACCAAGCACCTGCCCAGCGTCAGCGGCATGGGGTTCGACACATTCACTTATAACATCACCTTGATCAACGAGTTGGAAAATGTAAAAATCAACCGCAAGACATGCAGCGTGGCAGTCTCAAGTGCCATCGAACACCCCCACGAACGTCTGCATGCCTGCCGTAAGGAAGTGTGGACTTGCGGTCGCTGCTTCTGCAGCAAGCCTCTTATGAGGTCGTTCGACCAGTTCGGTAAATTGCGCATCACGCACATGTAGCGGGTTGTGGGTAGAACGGTGTGGTAGCATCAGTAGTCCATGGGGGATGCCGATTGTTGCTTCCTGTCCATTAAGTCGTTAGGTGTTGTGTACTCTCATGTGTTTGCGATAGACGAATCCCGTTAACATGTATTTCAAGAATGTAGGTCGTAAAATAGAGAGGGGGTGTTGCAAGATCCCTGGGGAAGTGTACATCACACGGCGCGGTCTCACCGGCGAGGAATGATTGCCTTGAATCATGGAATGGTTAGTGTCACCTTGTACCCAGACCTAATTCAAATGGGGTATATAGTGTATTCGCTCCATTGCTGCCTAGGGTGGCGCTAACAAGAGTAGCGGTAGGGTGCGAAAGGTGCTAGTGCGAAATGTGTTGTAATTTACCAGATTCTCGTACTCCTAGTGGTACATAGATGGACATAAAACTCCCGTTCCTCTCTTGCAGTTTCTTTCGTTTTACCCTCTTACTGAATTTCAGAGGCCTGGTGCGCTAGTCAATATTCAACAGGGAAGCGGGGTGGGGACTCCACGGGGGCACCTGTTTTCGTCACTACGTGGGGGATTTTCCAAGGGTGAAAATACATCAAGACTAGGTTCAGTAGTCTACACAACGAGCGCGCTCGACAAGCCGTTTTCCCTCCACTCACTTAAAATACTTCAGCACATACGTTTCGACTCTGATTGCATCTCGAACGGGTAGTCTTTCTGTGTGATGATACTGTAGCTACTAGAACAGATATTTTCAGTAAAAAAATTGTTTCAAAATACATTTTCACTGGTGATGCTCGGACCATGTTGTACTCAAATACTACCATTAACAGCGCCGTTTTTGTGGCACGTTCAGACGTTTCGGGCATGGTTCTCTCTCTCGCCTCCTCTCTCTACCTCTCGCCACCGCTCTCACTATCGTATGCTACAGCAGTGTACACTAGACTGAGGTTGCATCAGATACACCCCCTCTGAACCGATTTCCAAGGCTCGATTGCTCCACGTCAAAGAGGAAGCAGAATTCAAATGATACGGTTTCGGCAAGCTCTTCATGAGACGGTTCCAACGAGCTAGCTCAAACGCGGCCATGTTCGGCTCATGTTCGGCACCTTCAATGCTTTTCCTGCCGGTATTCGAGCTTTCAATCGGGCCAGGGGGTGTGGTATCTGATGCAACCTACACAGCTATACGCGGTACATAAGAAAGCCAGTATTTCTCTCGCTCTCTCTCTCTTTCTCTCTCTCTCCATCCTGTGTCACGGGCTAGCAGGCCGATCACGACCTCTTTGGCGCCGATCCGACGGTCGACGTTCGGTACAAATCGAGGCGAGAGCCTTGTGTGATGGGCTGACTCGATGGATCAGGACGGGTACTGCTGGCTGCTGGTGGTGCTGTTGTTGCGTGAAAAGATTTCGACGTACAACTGCTGTTTTCCGCTTCGTAGGTGGGAATGAGGCAACGCACACTACAAAGAGGGATATAACGGAGAAGTACCGGAGAGAGCAGAGAGAAACAGATCATGCGCAGAGGAGCGGAGAAGCGAGAAGACTCTACTCCTCCTGTAATCTTGTCATCTGCAGCCAGCTCTGCCAGCCAGCTCAGCTCTGCAGTCCTTGGTTCTAGGTTCTCACAAAAGGTTCCCATTCTGAACCCCTTTGTCTACCTAGATGCTTCCTAGAACTTTATTTTCTCGTCAAAGGGCTAAGCACCGCTCGACGATCGGGAGAGGTTCGGGTGATTGTCCATTACAATCATGGCTTTGGTTGGTTGTTCTTTTTCACTGTACGTCCGCAGACACATTCTGACAGCACTTCAGACAGCAGCTTTGTGCCCCGCCAGCTAAGCAACTGGCATACGGTTTAATGTGAAGTCAACAACAACAACAACAATGTAGCTTTTTTGGTTACGTTTTTCCGCTGCGGTTTGGCATTGGTGCTTCTGGCTCTGGGCGCGCCGTGGTGCTGACACCAACTTGATACAGTAGGGATCCTGTTTGCTGGGAGGGGACTACTTGAAAAGGGGTAGACTAGTGCAAATGCCCGAGAGTTGTGTAGACGCGTAGGGTTACAACTTTGTGATGTGTTGATTGGGTTGACAGGTCAATCAGCAGGATGATCCGTGGGGGCGGAGGGTTTTGATCCGGTGGCCGAGTTTCCGTTCGTTTGTCTTTTTTGGAGTTTTTCCATGAATACCCTGAACACATTGGTTGTTGAGAGCATTCGCAATGATGTATAGAATCAGGGAGGGTGTCCGTGAGGTGGATTATGCCATACTTACGCAGGCTACTGCGGTAATACTCATGTGTGGTATTGAGCTTTGTCAGTGCGCAAGTACGTTGCCGTCCATCGGTCATTTGAGTCTTCGGGGTATCTCCGGTAGTGGTGGTATCGTTGGCAAGATGTCACGCGTTCCGTGCTGTCATGTGTTCCGACTTCCGAATAATGTGTTCGAATGTTGTTGTTGTTGTTTCTCACATCAGACTAAATAGCTCTTTAGTCCACGAAAAATGGGGAGCCCGTGGTCTCAAAACCCGTTACATACGACGCCACGAGGAAACAAAACCAAAAAAGGGCACAAACCACTCGGAAAAAGCAAACAAAATGATGAAAAGGACATAATAGGTACCGCACCGACCGTTCGAGAGAAGAGCCTTCGGAAACCGATCAAATCTAATCAAGAACAAAAATAATGGAGGACGTTCCTATTATGTCTTGCGACTGTTGCTCGCTTACCTCGGTGTTTGTGATGCACCCTGGTGCCCACTCTTTTCCGTTGCTTGTGTCTACGAGGACGATCAATACAACGACTTTACCATCTCTTCACATTGTCAACCGGGAAAGCCGTGCTCATCCAGCAGCACTCGGCTTATGCTGTACTTCTGCTGTCTCTCTCCCTTTCTCCCTTCTTTTTTTTTTGCCGCAAAAGGAAAATGAGCCACTTGTCAACTCAAACATCACCAGATGCACTTTGTTTTTCCGGAGCACACTGGATTGCAGCAGAGAACACACGCACTGCGGGCGACACCATACAGCAGACAACACACGCACAGCAGGCGACAGCATCTAGGCCCGATGGCGCTGGACTCTCTGTGGTGTGATGCATCATGGCTCCGTGGCGCTGGACTCTCTGTGGTGTGATGAGGCTACAGTATGTATTGCTCTACAGTATTGCTCGGACACGATGTTATTTTTTACCGCCGCGTGCAACTGCCAGCAATGTGAGCGCAGCACCCCCATTAATTCTCGAAACCTAGGAAGCCGATAGCCATCGCACCACTTCGAGCGTGTTATCCATTGTGATGACTCTGGGCGTGATGGTTGTGTTGGGCATGGGTGCTGTATGGGGCGAGAGCATGCCACAGGTGGCCAGTGGGCACGGTTATGGGGGGGTTAAAGCGACCAGTAACCACTAGGCGTTCTACAACCTGCGTAACCCGGTCGGGCGCACCGTTGCCAACCTCCAAGGTCAGGCAGGGTTCGGAAACGCCGGCCCAAACCCACAGTTAAGGGACATTTGTATCTGTGCTTGGTTGCAGGCGAGGTTGTCCAAGCCCGAGAATGTCCATGGCTTACAGCGAAAACTATGTATCAGCCGGTGTCCACAGAGTACACGACACTCCGATTTTTTTGACATTCGCGGCAATAAAAAAAAGAAGCTTGAAGAGTGCCGGCATTTGTAAGGCCGATCGATAGTCTATTCCTAGTTGACTACCGTTAGACGCGCAAATAAAAACAGTACACCCCCCGCATCTCCGCACCAGTACTATTTTCAAGGGAACCTCCTCCTCGCCGCTGATCTGCAACTAACTGCCCACCGGTCACCCCGCGAGTAGCCCCTCACCCCTCGTGAGTGCTTATTGTCTTCCAGCTGTCGCGTTTTGGGGACTCTGTTCTTACACCACAAAGAATGACGGGTTCGTTCTTGGTCTTAACACCACGTCGGGCCTGCGCACGCACTTGTTGTTATTATTATGATGTGGTCCATTTCTTTGATTTTGATTTTTTTCGAGGCCGCATTTCTTAACTGCCAAGTTCATAAGTGCGAGCGCCACCTTTATCTTCTCATCACGACGTAGTGCTGGAAGCAACATAGACATGGGCCTACTGTATTTGACATATATATTGTTGCGTAGAAACACGCACGGCAACGATCTGGGGGCAAAGCAAAGACTGAGAAAAAGAGAAAGAGTAAGCGATGATATACTCTATACATACGCTGCCTCTATCACATGTTTTTTTCTTTTCTCCTACTTCACACCAATCCGCGCATAACCGCTTTCACAACCCGGCACGTTATGCCCGCTCTGACGACAGCTACATCTATCAGCTGTCGCTCGTTGTAGCGACAGCTAGTATGTCTTTATTTCTTACATACTTACACCGATGGGTGCCGTGACACCGATACCCGTGCAGAAATGCTACTACATCATTTGATTACACAGACGAGATCGAAATCCAACGCACCCCCGGAGCGATGACATCGATGGTGCGATACGGAATAAATCGCACTGGCCATTTTACGGTTTTGAGTGAACGCACCGCTCTGCAGTGACATCGTTAGGTGCGATAAACAAGAAACGAACACAGGCGGTTCTGGAAAAAGTACAGTAGTTGTGCGTGAAGCTGTTGATGCGAGTTTGGGTTAGCGTGTGCCAAAGGCAACAGGCGCTGTGGTTCCCTCCTGGGAAAGGTGTACGGAACGGTAAGGTTTTCTTCAAACAACCTCTTTGTTGGCCTCAAGGCCCAATTTTTGGCTGATGCTTCCCTCTGTCGTTGATTGCCTCCAGGGGCATGGTACAGTATAAGTACATGTACTTTTTAGTACCGTTTTCGAACTCCTTCTTGTTCGGTTGGTTGGAGGTGCGGGATGTGTGCTATGTTCTTGTTTGAGTGAGTGAGTGCCTTCGATAATGTACGGATTACCTGTAAGAAAAAACTTTATCATCACTTCTACGGGCACGGCTCGACGGTACATTAAATAATTCAAAGGAATAGCGCCCTAAATGGTACCTATCGCATCGCTACATACAGTTCGACACGTGGCCCGGAAATTAACGTGTTAAGAAGGATATATATCGTTGATATCGCACGGGGTGCGTTAACACCGATACCGATGCGTAAATGCACTTCATTCCGTTTGAGGTTCTCCTGTTCCCCGTCCTCAGCTGCTTCCCGCCGCTGTGTACTCAGGATGCCCCAGCACCACATCATACCACGAAAAAACAACGAACTTCACGCTTTGGGTGTAATACTTTGTTTACCTGAGGTAGACGAGCCCTGGCGGGGCTCGTCGAAGACACGCGCCCTCATCGCGATTGATCTATTGTTAGAGGACGTTGCGATTAATCTCCACGTGAAATCCGGTCAATGAATTTTCGAAGCGTCTATGGTAGTCCAGGTCTTAGCAGACCTCCAAACGTACGTACAACGTAGAATAGAAAATTATGGCCGACACGAATGTGGACGTTGACAAGACGGACATATGTGAGATCCAGCCACCGACGTTGTCGCACTCCACTCCAGAAACTACTTTTTTCAAGGGGCCACCACGAATCCCTTCGCGCAGAGACGCTCTTAACAGAGGGCATTATTTTCATTCAATCTTGGACGAAACGCACAGGATCAATCGCTCCGGAAGTACGAACGTATTGAAGCGTTCATGCCAGGCAACGAATGGCAAGCGTCAAACGCACAAACCTGCCACTCGAGTTGACCATGTGTCCCAACCATGCCGTATCATCTGTGGATACAGAAGGTTCGAGGGTGGGTGGCGCGCCTTCTTCTCTCTCGCGCCACAACCGAGCTCGTGCTGGTGTTGATCTTTCTGACGGTGGCTAGCCCGACGGGCTGGGGGTGGAACGAGTGCTCCATCTCGCCGCAGGACGAGTGGAAGGAAGCGACGGAAGACACTCTGGCCATGAGGATGCGCGCCGAATACGAACGGATGTACACGTGCACCACCCGTGAAGATGGTGAGCGAGAACCCACACGTGCATGCAGAGAGACAGACAGACAGACTACAGACAGACAGGGAGTTATTGGCCGTGTGTCTTGCTTATGTTGGGCACCGGATTGCTGATGTCGCTGAGGCTGATGCATTTTTCTGTATATTTAGCACTACACTGACGTGTATTCGTTACCTCCTTCTCCCTACCTCTCTGGAAAGGCCAATGAAACGGGTGTTGACGACATCAAGCTAGCCGAAACAGGACGTCGCAAGGCACACGATAGACACAGAGTATCAACCCGAAATCGCGACAAGCTGGGTTGTTTTTGATACTTGTTTTGATGCGATGAGCCCTGTCTCCACGGACCCATTCCTGAAGGCGAGATGGGTTGTTGGTGCTACCTTTGGCCGGCACAAAAACAGCTACTGTAGGTTTTTAGCCACCCGGGAGGACATCGGGCTTGGAAGAACCCTACCCCCTCCCTGTCCTTGAAATCTCCGCCTGGGAATGATTTTTCAAGACGAACATGATGTTACCCCCGGTTGAACTCAAAGACGATCGGCGGAATCAGCAGCTGGGGTACTGGAGTCACAGAGCCTACACCTCCTCCCGCGGTGGAGGAGCAGAGACGAACGGAGCGCCCTTGTTGTTATCCACGTTGTTGTATCATCTGTGTAGCTTGCTGGACGCGCTTTGCGGCGTTCCTGAGACTCGCGTTCTATTTCGTTCGTTCACCGTTCAAAACGACCTCACTTCATGAAATATAACTTCTCGTGTACCTCCCCTGCTTCGAAGCTTGCTGATATTCCCACGCTCCGTACCCCTATTCCGTCATCCGATTTGTTTCCCACCCTCCTAGTGACTTTCGTCGCCTCCAAACGCCATTGTCATCCCGCAGTTCTTATGGACGCCATCTCACGAAACGCATTCGGAAATACGAGACCGCCAAACACAGCAGGATACGTACATGAACGCCCACCCACGCGCCCGTGAATCCTTCCAATCTCCTCCTCCCCCCCCTAGCGTCAGCTAGATGCGTACTTACACACACGCCGCGCGGACTACACTTTCCACATTCTCCAGCCGGCCTTATCCTTTACTGATACATGGCTTGTAGACTAATCCGCCGCAACGGGAACGACCTGGCAGCCTCTTTCATGGCGGCTAACTACTACTTCGACTCTCCCTGCTTGGCCAAGAGGTTTTTCTACCCCACTGACGTTCGAGAGGTGGGCTATTGCGGTCGGTGTCCGTCGATCACGAAAACGTGGAAATAGTGCTACCGGATCAAAGGAAGTCCACTTTATGCTTTCGGCTCCCAGAAATTGACGTGAAGGTTTTGGTAGGTTGCGAAAAACGGATGTACTCGCGAAACATCGCTCGTTCGTGCGGGCCAAAGGCACTGCCAGTGTAGTGGCTTGGGCGGGAGGGAATCGATTTGCCCAGGGTAGGTAAAGCTTTCCGCGTGAATGTAGAAATGATGGATGAATTTGAACAAATATGAGCATGCTGCGGACAACAGTTCTTGCTGCATGTACCTCAACCCCTCCCCGCTTCTACGATCTAGTGTTCAATACTCCTTCTGCGCCAGTTGCCTTTGGTTGTTGGTTTCATGAGGTTCGTCTTCGTCATACAGATTTCTCTGCAGACACCTGAACAGTATGTGTCGCTGCCTGCCAAACATCTGCACAACACAGCTTCTCCCCCAACCCTAGGTGCTACAACCTTTCCCCCTGTCAGCTTCTCCCTCTCTGTACCTTTTATTGGCGCCGCTAGTGCTTACGAGGGCGACGAGTCATCTTTCTGGGGGACTCTTTATCCAACCAGCAGGGGGACTCTCTGGTTGGTATGTTGGGCTGGCACCCTGAATGGATGCCGCGCGGGGGGCCCAGAAACCGCAAGCGGGTGCGTACGTATGATAGTGGAAATAGTGAACATCGAGATGGTAGGGCAAGAAGCAGTAGATAAAGCTCGTGCTCAAGGAAGGGCAACACCCGAGATACCATATCGTGCGTCGCACGTGCCCAAAAGAGATAATTTAGCTGGTTGACAGAGGCTCCGAGCATTTCTGCCGGTTTTGTCGACATCGGTGGGTCGGATGGCTTCTCATGTCCTCTCATGTCCTGTCATGTTTCGAGGAGCCTGAACCTTGATTGTTTCATCTGAGACTTTTCGACCTTTTCTCTGTACTGGGTTTTCCAATTTCTGTGGGGTTTTGAGTGCATTTGGTAGCATGTCCTTACACCACGTCACCTCTCGTTTTCTACCGACTGGTTTCTCGCTCCGAGCAGGCTGTAAGAAAGGACGGAACGCGCTACTTTACCCTGGTGGACTGCTGGCACCCGCCGGGGGGCTCAATTCCGGGCATCGAGAGGTGCTACGACGTCTACGACACCGACTTCCCCTTCGAGGGAAATCACCGCAGCCCTGGAAAAGTGAGTCAGTTGGACATGCACATGGAGTACATGGCATGCGTGTGACACCGGTTAGATCATTTGGAACCGGAAGGAACGCGTGTCCGCTGAGCGAGGTCTGGCTTCTTTGTGACAACACGCTGGCGAACATTGAACGATGTCCTAGGCGCGGTGATCGAAGACTAGTTTCTTTTCGGTTACTGACGTTCAGGCGCAACGTCGTTCTTGATGCGGCGGGGATGCTTGAAGCGGAAGGCTGACGCTGTTGTCCGTCGGCAAAAAAGGGGTGAATCGTGGCTTTGGTGCCAAGGCCGCTGCTGCTGTTGCGCATGCTACGTCAACGTCTGGCGCGTAAGAAGCAGCGTTTTAGCTTACACTCCTTCCGCATACCAAGAAACAACATTTTCTTGCGACGTAAAATTGGTCTAGTCTATGTCTCGCGCTTTCAACTCGTTGCCTCGCTAGATCCCTAAACCAGATGTGACGAATGATGATGGCGTACCTCCAGCACTTCCTCTGGCCGCGCGACAACATCGGAATACTTGCAACAATCTACTCGTGTGTGTTGCTGCCGTTTTCTTTCGCCGTCTCCTTCGAGACGGCCTTCCCTTCCGTACCATATTTGGCACTTGTCCTCACTCTGTATTTTCTTCTCATTGAGTGGTTCGTCGCCGTTTGGAGCTCGCGTGCCCTTATGCGCTCGGTGCGTGTGTTATCGCGTCCCCGACGTACTCTTCCCGCGGTTCAGCCGCGTACACACCCTTGAAACAGTCCAGATGCGTATGTAACGTACAATCTGTGGTCGCGTGAGCATTTCGTCTGTTATATTCGCTGGATCGCCCATGAACCTCACGGGCTGCAAATCAAAAGTACTCTTGAACAATCGTTTTTGATTCATGCTTCGGATGCAGCTTGTTTTGTCGATATTGCTAATGTTCTGGTCTTCACATCGCATCACGTGCTGTCTTTTATCCATAACCTCCCTGTCCCTACCTGTGTCTCACACACACCTATTCAACACTGCACGCCATTTGTTGTCCACACCGTGGTCATGTCCCACCTACACCACGACGTACGTACGTTGGACCGTACTAGCCTTCCCTCGAGATCCACGGGTCTACTACTGACGACGGGGCGTTTGCATCGACCGAAGGTAAACACGACAGGAGAACCAGAAGGCGCTCCTTGGAAGGGGACGAGGGGGGGGTAGAGGAGGGAGGGGTGGAAGAGGGTAAGGAGGAAGGGGGGAAGGGGGAAATGACCAAGGCTAATCAAACAACGTCGGTGCACGTGCGCATGACCTCTACCGCGGACGACCGACACTGGCTGAGGAGAGCTTTGAGGGATTACAACGAGACGAGGGCGTCCGACGTCGTCGTGGTCAACTTCGGCCCCCACTACCGCAGCACCCCGGAGGGCGAGGAGAGCTTCAAGCGAGACGTGTCCTCTATCCTAGATGATATGGCCGAGATCGGTGAAACCGCCACCGTCGTTTGGAGGTGCGCACAGGAAGAGCCATCCTCGTGTTGTATTCTTGCAGACCAGGGAGGGGTATTTGTTGATACTATTAATACTCTTTGGTGCTCTTGGTTGAAATGTTTCCGGGGCTCAGTTCTGCTTGGATGAGCGGTTGAATTCTGTTCGAGGTCAAGCTCAGAAGGTCTGCTGTGTCTGCTATCGCCGTAGACGTGCAGAGTTTGGTGCAAACCATCCCTCCTGCTCGGTACCACGTGTACTCAACAAGGGCAGGGCGTTTCAAGGTCAAGCGGGAGGAAGTTCCCGGTTTTGACTTGGGAAACAAACGGCATACTTGATGGTAGCGGCACCTGATCTTGGGTCATCTTTGGAACAAGCTCTACGGCTCTTCAGTTGCAGATATTTGAGATTGTTGGGACAGCAACGGGTACCAATTGTCATTTGAAAGCTGTAGGTGTGGAGCATTGTCTTGGTAGCAGCCTTCCTTGTGTGCTAGTACTGAAAACCTGAATACAGTAAAAATAGCTTCTTCGAATGACTGGCTGATTTGGTGAAGGCCGATAAACTCGCTTGGCACGGCTTGAAGCGACTGCTCAGCCGAACTTGATATCTCTACCTCTCGTTTTGCGTGTGCTAGTTTGTATAATTCCCATCGCTACGAGCAACGAATTGTGTTGGCAGTTCTCAAGATGCTAGCGAATTGGTTTTTCTACCCGCGATGTCGTTCCCATTGGCGCATCGCGGTGCTTTCGCAGGGAGATAGCACCGACTCACTTCCCCGGCGAAAATGGCACGTACGAGTCTTTCGTCGAGTTAGACCTTGGTAACAACGCCTGCTGCACTGGAACGCCGGTGAAGGTTTTGGACCGAAACGCGGTGAGCAATTCCGCGAAGGGAAGTGGTTGATCGAGGTAGCGTTTCTTTGTCAAGGAGGCCCGAAACGATTTCGAGATGGACGTATTTCGAAATGATCGCCCGATGAAAGCACGTGGAAGTGCTGTCGGGGTGCCTGCATGGTGGTCGGGCAAACGGTTGCGTACGAAGGTAGTCACGATGACCTCGCTCGCTCTCGTGAAAGTGATGAAGCATTCCGACCTCATCACACAGTCTCTGGATGTACATCCGATGCGGATGGCAGTATTAATTGATTTGATACAAGCGCCCTTTGCCTGTTGAACTATGTCAGCAGCCACGTTTTTGTAGTGAAACTAGCTGGCATCCTCGACGTTTCGCGACGATGGCCAACAAGAGCATCTAATGTTCTCTCCTCCACAATAATCGTAATGCCTGCCAACAGTGGGTTGAGGACTACGTGCGAGACAACGGGCTTTCGGACAGGGTAAAATTGCTGCGCATTTACGACATGTCCGTCCCGCGGGGTGCAGCCCACCACACCTGCCACCTCGCCCCGGTAAGAAGGGCTCATGCTTTTTTTTCCAGGCACGCTTTACGGCCTTGCCGCATGTCAGAAAATCCATGCCGTATGTATCCGGTAGCAAACCACCCATGTGTCTAACTTTTGTCGGGGCCACGACAGGCATACGTGAATATTGCGGTGGGACACGGCACCGCTGTCTGCAAGTGTGCAACAACTTGTCGGCGTGAGACTGAAGACGAGTTATCGGGGAGGCACGAGGAGATTGCGATACAAACGCCCTGCGGGCCGCATGCAAGGGCGGAACACCCTATCTTCGAGGGAGATGATTGTACCTACTTAAATGCAGGGTCGGCGACATTATGACTGAAATGGAAGTACAAGGAAGAAATGCTGCAAGAGGCAACCAGAACCAACGTTGCACCACTTGGTAATCTTGTGCGGTGCTGTCGTTGTTTACGGATTTCCTCCTTGTGCTGCAGCCGTCTACCATGGACCAGGCAGGAGCCGAAAGCGACTACTGCCACTCCGTCTACGCTACCGACTGCAGGCATTGGTCGGAAACTGGCGTTGTAGAAGAGTGGAACGCGCTACTGCTCAACCATTTATGCCCGATGGCATAGCGAGGTTGCATTTGTCAGAGTTTTGCTTGTTCTTGCCGTGAGGAGTTCAGGGAAAGGTTTTGCCGGTTCTCTGCTTGTAAGCTTTCGCGCAGGGTTGACAAGAACATTTTGTATCCTTCAGTTTCTGTGTGTTTTTGCCGAATGCGATAGGAACCCACCGCCGTCCTCTTCCGGGTTGACGGGCAACAGTATGCACTCCTTCGTCGGCCGTGTTTTTGGCGAACGTCTTGACGAACACATGTCTGTGAATGGTGAAAATGTTTTTCAGTTGTGATGCGCGACCAACGACCTCGTCGTATATACCGAGATGTGCCTACATCGTTACAGTACACTTTGATACTTGAATAGATGGCGACCCCTGTAGCAAATTCCAACAACGACGTAAATAACGTACTCCGAGTAACTTAAGTGAACGTTTATTTTTTGACGTTATTAATCATCCCTTAAAAAGTTGGACTCATCAGCCGGGGTCACACAAGAGTAAGGCCAATCATGAGTTATTCTCTCCGCCTTCTTTCGGCGTGCTCGACCTTGATGATATCCGCGAGAAGGATTGAGCCGTTCCTTTGCCTCGTCCGCCGGGTATTAAAACTTTCGCGTGTACGCAAATTGTGGCGTTTCCACATTGCTTGGGTATTGTTGTGAGAAAATGTGCAACTGTTGGGACTTCATCGAGAGTCGAACCCGCGTCCATACATACTGCCGGAGATTTGCAAGGATACCTACTGAGACACCTCAGGGACCGAGCTACGTTAGCAACGAATGTTCCATTGATCAATTTCCAGACAGCGGTTTTGCTTGCGGGTTTTGCCCATGGTTGTTTGGTTTCGTGGAAGTTCACTTACTTGTTGTTGGCACCCTCGATTGAACGGCTTCATGATCATGTCTTCGGGTGCAATTTCCGTCAGTCGTTCTCTCCGAACACACGATGAAGTACAAAATACGGATGAAAGAGGACGAGATGCTCTGTCGGGAGTTGACGGACGTCCGAGCAAAAATTGACTGGTATTTTACCTCTTCGCCAGTTTTTTCAGGGACGAAACATTGTCTGAGCATGCAGTTCTTCCGCCCTCAAAGCCCCTGCCAACCAATACGTTACTTTGTCGGTATCATCTGATCAGTACCCTCAACCACCTCATCAGCCCCCCATGCCCTTCATCACCCACGCTACCACGATATCGCTGTCCGCCATCACCATCAACGCTTTTCTTTCCTCCCAGCCCTATCTTCGTTCATCTTCCCAAACAAGTAGCACGTGTGTGCATGCCGACATCGCCAACGACGTCACTTCCAACCAAATAATGTGTGCCAGTGCAATCTCCTCGTCGTCCTCTGTTATCTGTTGTGACCCTCTTCTGTACTACCTGGCAGTGTCCAGAATCGGCACCGTGTCCTCGCACACTTCCAGCTACCCTCTTGGTTGTAGCGTCTGCATGCATTACTGTATTTCTCGATAGCGTCTTCCTTGCGAAGCTTAACGACGACGTCCTCATGCCCCCGCCCCCGGAATTCCCCTGTCCCGAGTACCACCTTCTCCATCCGACGTCCACTAAGCTCCCTGGACAGGTTCAACAACTTCCTTCGTGCGCTATGCATCCCGTGCCCCGGCCTGTGCCGCCCCATAAAGGTCCAGTCCATCTGAATGGAGTAGCAGTTTACAGAGACCCGGGTGTATCACAGAGGCGGCGTGGTGTAGTTTCCCAACACTGACACCTCCCAAAACGGCACCCTACCGTTGTCCTGTACACGAAAATAGACACGGTAGAAGTCTGTCTGCTTGTCTTCGCCACCTGCACTGCAGGATACCGTGTTGAATACTACGCACAAGCAAAAAGATCCATACATGACAACACCGCCCGCCCCCACACTACCACCCCCGGTGAGACTACGTATACCGTTAGCCTACTGTTTGCCGCCCTCTCAGGGTTGAAATACTTTGACCCACTCTTTTATTTATAAGTGCCTCGTCTCTTGCTGCCCTAACTCACGCTGTATAACCGATAGGGCCTAGAACTTTGTTTCATTGGCCTCTTTTCTCCGAGTCCCAGGCACCGAATCCTAGAAGCACCCACGGCTGTTGCAGCATCCAACAATTCACGCTTACATTTCGTCTCGACACTTTCGACCAGCGCCTGCAGCCATCGCCAAACATACAAGCAATCGGGGGAAGACCGCCACGAGCCAAGAATCCACCGCGCATGCTCCACGTACTTCACAACAACACAGAAACCTGTCCACCCCTCCCGACCCCCTGCTCATGAGCGTCTCAAGTGCTTTTACATCGAGAGATAAAAGCCCCCCCCTTCAACACCGCAGTTCATTTCTGAGCGTCGATGTCTGCTTTTCCAACATACAGCCGCTTGGTAGGCTCTGAAGGTGGTGGTGTGTTTCTTCCAGTGGCTCGAGCACATCTCGGAATGATACATCACCCAGTGCACACCGTGGCTTGCCTCATATCGATCGCTTCCTAACCGTCTGCTACTTATTGATGCCGCGCAAACACCTTCATTTCCGTACACGTTGGACAGCCCGATGAATGGAAACCCTCTCAATTCCACATGGTATATCGACGTGGCTAAAATATGGAATCTAGTGCGACGAATTTGGATAGCTGCGTTGTCAACGAAGGAAACCGGTGAATCCCGGATGTTGCCAATGGGCAACAGCCCTTAGCGCAGACATGCCTCTGTTTCTTACCAAATGCATGTCGAAAACGGTAGCATGACGTGTTACGTAAAAACCTTCTCGCAGCTCAGTTTCCTGTAGCACTGTCACCCAATATATAGACGACCGGTGGGTAGAAAGTGGCCAGCAAGTCCACATCATGATGTCACCAATAGCGCCCAAGGGTTGAAGAACACACCGCCTCCACCCATCAGTTGCTGCAGCAACAATACACCGCGAGCGTTCTCGTACGCAATGTTCGGATCGTCCTGTTCCTGTCGCTGTGGCTGTCGTCCCCGTGCGTCGTCTCGCTGCTGAATAGCCTCCACGGTTTGTCTCTGCAACGATGCGTTTCGGTCGGCCAGCTCTTTGGCACTTATCTCTCGGCGGCTTCCTTGGCCTTGCGGTCCTGCTCGCGTGCAAGCGCCGTGCGGTTGCGTTCCTGCACCTGCATGCGCGTACCTGCAACACGTGGATGCAGACAAGGTTGGCATTTGAACACGTGCTGCTACATAGGGACGAGCAACCGCATGTATCTGTTGTATAGTCATCAGATCAATCCCAACACTGATGTGAGGACGTGCTAGGGCATCCAAATGTCGTTCGTTTGCGTCGGTGGGCGGCTGTCAGTGAGCCTGCACCGCGAGTTATGATCTGGAACGCATACTTTACCCTTGACGAGACCTTCGAACTACTTCCTCGATAGGTTCCAGCCCAGTTCATGGAGCAGAGCCTCGTTCACCACACGGTTGACGAGTGTCATCTTCTTGAAATCCTTGTGTAGGGCCTGAAACGTGGATCCGACCAGTTGGTTCCATTTCATGTCGAGCTCGTGTTCGTCGATGCCGGTAGACTTGCCGTTCCCATTTATCTGGAACGGCATCCGATTGGAGGGTCTGGCTTAGGGGCACAACATCATCGGGGAGTGTATTATCGGCACGTTCGCGTCGTTTCTCATGCATACATTCTGGCACCGTCTACAATACCCCCGTGTTCGCCTCGAACATATCCGTTCAGACGATCGTCTCCATGTGAACCTTCGCCACGCTAGCTACGTTAGGACTACTCGGCAAGCGTGCGGGAAACACGTGATAAGGACCGGCTTACCGCGTTCCAACCCAGCGCCGCCCCGGAAACGTCGGCTTCGGCTGATGATACCCGCGCTTGCACCTTGCACGACGCTTCGTGTCTTGGCTGCCAGCCACAACCGCAGCTTTCGGCGACATCTGCTCGACCAGCTCTTCTTGCACGCCCTTCGTGATCCGTGAAGATATCGCCTGCGTGTGGCGAATTACACCAGTGGTTGACCGACGGTGCGCTAGTCGGAGCAAGCCATAGAGTTCAACGGGTTCAAGGACTTAGTCTCCTTTGTACCATCAGATAGGTGCGCACATTCGGGTTACACCGTTTCACCGCGGTTTTGGTATCAATCGCCCGAGGCTGACGGATAACAGCGATTGGGGCCCCTCCCAAAACCACTAAACACTGAAACAAGGTTCGGTCTCAGCTTCTCCGAACATGATAATCGTGGCAGCATCAACTTTCTTCTACTGTTTCAGCGTAGCTTGCATTGAAGGAGTGGCCGGTACCTGTGCTGCCTGATGGAACTGTTCGTGGGTCTACGGACATGGTTTGGATACATTAGCCATACGTACAAGTGTGACGCAGATGGTGTAGAACCTTTTAGGTAGGGGTACGGTGATGATGCACCGGGACCCCCTTTGTTGAGTGCAGCAGCCGCGCTGCCACTCTCTCTTTCTCCTCCTGCTTTCCGAGCACGACAGCGTCCTGGGTACGGGCGTTGTCTCACCGTCTGAAGTTAATACACTACACAAACAAGTCCCGATAAGTACGCGGAGTACGGCCGACAAACAC